TACTGTGCACCCAAAACAGCTTTAAGGTTAATTCCACTTTCGGTTGACGACACTGGGAGCTAGGCCTAAACCCATGCTTGGGTCTGAAAGTCAGCTACCAGCCAAGGTGTTCTCTTTGACAAAGTTACTCTCCAGCTTTACAGCCTCCAGGTATGGCCTCCTCTTCCCGGCCTCTATTTTCGTTGCCTGGACAGACTGTAACTGCCAGTAAGGCTCGAATGGGCCTATACATTCTGCGGTTGTAACTCACTGTATTGGGGGAAGTTTGAGGCTATGGTGGCATTTGTATAATTGACAAATCACATGCCAGAACCCAGTACTGGAATGAGATGTAAGGGGAGCTAATAAAGGAGCTCTTGGGGAGGTTTTCTTGTCGCAAGTAGATGGCTTCTCCACGCTGCCCTTCTGCTCTTGTCTTGTCTTGAGTAATAACCAGATGCTTAGACCTGTGACAGTCATCTTGAAATGGAATTGACAGGTGAGAAAATAAAAATCTAATTTCTAAGTAGGGTGAAGAAAAAAATGGAAAGATCTTCGGCCTTTTAAGAAGCTGTTAAGTTGCCATGCATTTCCAGACATGTTGTTTTGTGAGATAATTAAATGTCTCTATTGTGGAAAGCCAAAAGCATCCCTCACCGGTCTCCATGACAGGGAGGAGGTCCCTCTTCTCTTGGAATTTATTATTGATTCAGGGAAATGATACAAGGAACTGTTACGACTAATAGAAAAGTATGGAAGCCACAAGGAAAGAGGAAATGGATGAGGTTTTATAGATGGGCGGCCTCGGACCGCCCCGTGACCCATGCCAGGTTGGGGAGGTCGTGGTGAGGAGCTGTCGGAGAGTCTGCACCTAGGTCCTGGCTCTGCTGCTCGAAAGCTCTGCAATCCTGAGCCTGTGGTTGGAACTCCTCAGACTTTAGCTCTTCTTGAGGGCTTCAGTGGCTGTTAGCAAAACCCTGGGTAAAGACCTGTGAGCCAGGCAGGCATCCTAGCCTTCTCCCAGGTAGATGGAATGGCAGCTTGGGCCACACACCTGGTTGGTAGCTGACACTAAGCCTTAGGAACAGCAGCCTGGGTTAGCCTCAACTGGTGATCCTCCTATCTGTGCCTCTTGAGTAGCTGGATTACAGGAATGTGCCCCCACGCTTGGCCCTCACTGAGTATCTTAAGAAGGAAAATCACACCCTCGAGTCCCGCTCACCGAGTGAACTGGGGGATTACGCTTGCAGTATAAATGAGCAGTGCCCAATTCATCGTTGTTGCACCAGTAAACTCTCGCTCTCTCCTGAACAGATAGATTGCAATCTAGAAATCATCTCTCAATGGAAGGAATAAGATGGTACTGCCCTTCAGCCTGGAAATTAGAATTTGCGTTTGTTTTTCCAAATAGTAAATTGGATTTTGGAAGCAGAAGAAAAAACTTTTAACACTATTCAAGGGGGAAAAGGTTTAGTATTTTTCAATAAATGACAGCCAGACAATTGTACGTCCTCATGCAAATAAGTAGAGGTGTCTATATTTAAGTTTTTATCACCTTGGATTATGCAATGTTGGTGTGGAATCAACAACAGAATAAAGATGTTGATTTGTAGCAAAATTAAGCCTCCCTTTCCTTGATCTTACCACATAGAAATCACTATGTGGCTCAAGCTAACCTTGAACTCACAATCCTCTGCTCCATCTCCGTCCACCACAGCCAACCGCTATGCCAGTTTTGTATCTGACAAAATTTGAGCATGGGAAGATTAGGTGATGATTGTGGCTACCATGTAGCATAAACAAACATTAAACACAAGCATGGGTGCTCCACTATTCAATGCTGAAGATGGATCTTCCTGCCCTACAAGCTGATTGTGTGCAGATCTTCCTTCCCAACTTTAAGTTCAATTACCGAATGCTGGCAGTCTGAAATTGGCCATGATGGAGACAGTAAATATTTGCACCATGGAAATTGCTAAGCACTTGGAATGCTGGCTTTTTATGGACAACCAGTTTATCTGCTCTTCACTGTACTAGTCAGCCTTTGTAGTCACAACTAAATACAATGACTCATTTAAGAAATACACAATCAGTACATTTAGAAATTTCTATCTAGTATCAGGAAAAACAATCCATTTAAATATTTGAGATATAACCCTTCTTCTTCTTGACACCGACTATATTTTGATAAAAACACCTTTACTAATTCTGACAGTGTGAGACATTCTATTCTTAAATTCTGTTCTCATGTCAGAGTAGCAAAGTTTTAGAAGGGTAAAGTCAGTAAATAGGAAGCAATAATCAGGATTGAATGCATCATGACCAAGAATCAACATTATTATGTATGTTTTTGCCATTCTCTGGACAAGGCTATTAGCCAGAAGGCTGGGAAATGGTTCATAAATGTTAAATATGCAATTTTTCTCTACAGCATTTTTCTTTTGCCAAGTAGAATTTCAACATAAAGATACTATAGCTACTTCATAGCAAGCAATTGATGCAAAGTGATGAACTTATTTACAACGTAAATCATGACTTATGAGAGGACAAATTTCTTTTAAAGGGAAGTCACATTAGAGATATAGAGAAATGAGAACATCACGTTTTCTTCCTTCTTTCTATTAAGCCATAGCAAACTAATTGCTGTTTAAATTTTGTAAATCTACTGTCTTCCTGAGTTGAAAAATTAATTCACATACATTAAATCAATAGGAGATTTTTTATTCATAAATGGGAAAAAAGCAGGTTTGTTACTAGGATGTTCAGAAACTCAGGTAGCTGTGTATATTCTAAATTGAAGTCTGAGAAATATTTCTCCAAACATCTAACCCCTTAATCATGTCAACCTAATAAAAGTATGCTAACATTCTTCAGAAAGAGAAAAATAAGAGTTCTGAGAAAAGTGGCCACTATTCTGTAGTGGTTTCCCTTAAAAATGTCATTAGCATTTTTAAAAATTTAATTGAGTTGTAAAGGTGATGTACAGAAGGGTTATAGTTATATAAGTAAGGTAATGAGTACATTTCTTGTCTAACATTGTTACCCCCTCCCTTGTTTTCTCCTATTCTCCCTTCCTCCAGACTCCTCCCCTACCCCAAGTTGTAAAGTTCATTTCCAACATAGTGTCCTGTGAGCATTGCTGTTGCATTGGTTCACTCTTTGTCCTTTGTCTCACCATTTTGTGATTTCCCCTTCCCTTCCTCAAATCAGATAAACAAATGCACAAGACACAGGACACCAAGATCAAAGACAATGATAAGAGGGAATAAGCCAAACGGGGAATAAAAAATACCTTCACACTTGATATATTTTTTAAAAAACACACTTTTTTCCCATATCTTGGAGTTCATTTCAATTAGTGCCATTAGGTTTTTAACTAGGTCTAATTTTACCTAGAATAAAATTTTTGCCCAAAGAGGTAAACAGTATTGTGGAGAAAAAGCAATGTGTATTTCTATACATTGCTGCCTAAATGGTAAGGGTCCGAGGGCCCCCAAGAAAGGTGAGAAGTATATAGACATGGGCAAATGGAGAAACATTTGCACAGAAGCAACATCTGTATGCTCACTTCATTGCTTATTTACCTATTGGACACTTTCATGTCCTAAAATTAATTTGCCTGATCTATGTTTCTCTGATAGAATTTTCCTCAGCAACACAACTCTGAATCTCCTCTCAATCCCAACCCACAGAATCTTCTAGTCTTTCTCCTTCAAAGTTTATTTTGTACTGTCGTGTGTGTGTGTGTGTGTGTGTGTGTGTGTGTGTGTGTGTGTGTGTAAAATGAGTCACATGTGCTGTGCTGGGGGAGGGGTCAGGGGGGTGGGGGTGAGGCTAGCCAGAAAATGACAATGCAGCATAGATGCCTGGGCCTTGCCATCACAGCCCCAGCCTGAGGGCCAGTAGCCCAGGCCAGTCTTGAACTGGCTATGTAGCTCCGGCTTGTTTTGAACCTATGATTGATTCTCCTGCTGGGATTACAGGTGTGGACCACCACAGCCAGCACAGCTTTTCATGGGAAGGAAAAGCCAGCCGCACAAAATGAACTCATCAATCCCTTCAGCCCCCACCCCACCTCGCCAGCGCTGCAGTCGACGGCCCAGGGCTCCGGAGTGGTTGAGGGTGACCCCAGAAGCTGCATTCTTGCCAGACTGGACAGCATTTGGGTGGGACTAGTCAGATGGCTGCATGGCTAACCGACTGACTTCACTCTGGAGTAGTAGTCCTCACGTGATTGTGTTTCTGAACGCTCTGCGATCACAGCCACGGTGTGCGGAACGTGTGCTGTGGTGAGATTTCATTGAAATGTAGGAAGAAGATGATTTCCACAGCCTCAAGCTCCCTTTAGGCTAGGAAATACTTGCTATGCATGGGCTCGCTGTGCTGAAGGCAGCATGGCCAGTACTCATGGAGAGGAGCCCTGGGCCTAGGAGGTCCCTGTGCTGCCCAGTCCCAGAGAGCCTGCAGGAGCAGGGTGTACCAAAGCCACTGCAAACTCCAGTGCCTCCCTGATCAGAATGCGAGAGTCAGCAAATATGATCTGAACAACACTAACTGCACGGCATGGAGACCTTAAGACGTCTGACACGGGCAGACCTGAAGGGCAGTGGGAAGTCTGGTGGAAACCCTGGTGACCACAGTTGTGTGCTGGGAACCAGGAAGGGTGACTTCCCAGGGGAGTTCCCACTCTGCTGCCAACCAAACTGGACAGGATGTGTGGGGATGGGCCACAGGAGCAGCTCTCATTTGGACTACCCCATTGTGCCTGGGTCACAAGATTCTGGCCACACCCCTTATTTTCCCCCTGTTTTTCTGACCAATGGGATCCAAGAATAGAGGCCACGCCCACCTTCCATGCTGCCTAGTAGCACTGGTATTCCCTCAAGTGACTCACACCACTACCAGCCGTGGAGGGAGGTAGAGGTACGGAGTGGTGAGCGAGCAAATCGAGGTGAATCGAGGTGACATAGTTGGTGCATCGAGGTAGATAGAGTTGGTGGTGACTGGAGAACGGCCTGGGAATGTGGCCCCCACATCTTCCCCGTCCCAGCGCTAGGATGTCTGAACAAACAAGACTGAAAAAGTTAGCCGCAGGAAAGAGACTCCTGGAAGAATACCAGCGGAGGAATGGTCCTGCCGGATCTGCAGAACCCAAGAGAAAGAAGAAGACTAAAAAAGGAGGTAACCCCAAGACAAAGGCCGCCAGGGACAGTCATTCAGCTGAGGGTGTGGCCAAAGACCCGGCAGGCCTTGAGCCTCCCCCGCTTCTGGGCACAGTCAGAGCTGCTGGGGTCAAGAGTGACCCGGGTCCCTCCGCCACCGAGGACCTCGAAGGGTGCTACCAACACCTGGTGCTTGCCCTCGATGCCAACAGAATACAAAATGAGCAGCTCTGCAGAGAGATCGAACAACTGAAGCAGGAAAATAAAGAGCTGCAGCAGCAGCAGCAGGAGACCGCCTGTGTGCCCGAGGCCCTGGGAGCAGAGCTGGAGCAGTACAAGCTATCAGTGCAGATGGTGGCTTCAGAAAAATCCAGTTTACAATCTGCCCTGGCCGACATGCGGCAGGTGGCCGAAGGAAGAGCCCAGGAGCGGGACCATCTCACCAGCCGCCTGCAGGCTGCAGAGCAGCGCGTGAGGGAGCTGGAGATGAAGCTGTCCGACATCTCCACCACAGAGACTGACACCGAGCTCCACAACCTCGAGCTCATGAAAGCCTTGAAATGCCTGACGCTGCAGCTCCAGCAGAAGAGCAGAAGCTGTGAAGACCTGGAGGAGGAGAACATCGAGCTGCGGGACAGGCTGGACGTGCTCCAGACACAGAAGGCCAACATGGAGCTCCAAATTCACAAGTTCCAGGAGGCGCTGGTGGAGCACGCAGAGTTGGAAAGACAACTCAAGAGCATGAGAGAGCTGGCCACCACCTTCAAGCTGGAGAGAGACTCTCTGGAGGAGGACCTGAGGGTGGAGAGCTGTACAGGGAAGGAGAAGGCCCGGCAGCTCTTAGAGGAGGTGGGCAGGCTGAGAGAGGAGAAAGAGCAAGGGGCCAGGCAGGTGTTGGAGCTGGAGGGCGAACTGGTGGAGCTGAGAGAGCAGCTGGCCCAGCTGCAGGACGCCTGGCAGAGGCTGAGCGCTGAGAAGGAGTCGCTCGCTGGCCTCCTGCACGCTGAGCAGCAGGAGAAGAAACATCTTCAGGAGAAGCTGGAGCAGCGGGAGGAGTCGCTCAAAGAATGGAAGGAGATGGCTGAGTTCGAGCACCAAGAGGCCCAAGAGCTGCAGGACCAGTCCCTGGCCCAGCTGCAGGAGCTCAGAGCCACTTGTGAGCAGCTCGAGGCTGCCCATCAGCACCTGAGTGCGGAGATGGAGGCCCTGCAGCAGCACCTGTGGAGGCAGACCCAGCTGCTGGAGCAGCTGCAGCAGAAGCAGGTGCAGAGCACAATGGAGGACTGGAAGGTACCTCTAAAGTTCCAGGACACACTGACGTGCCTGGAATCCACAAGGCAGGAGAATGCACAGCTGCGGGCCCAGCTGAGCCTCCTGGCTCTCCCTAGAGAAGGCGAAGGAGTGAGCAGAGAGGAAGACAAGGGGGAAGAGGCGGCTCCCCCTGCTGTGACCGTCCCAGAGGACATAGACAACCCACATACCATGTGGGATTTTTACTGCGTAGCACTATCCATCGCTGAATCTAAGAAGGCTCAGCTCAGCTGTGAGTTGCAGGAGCAGCAGGCCCACTGTGAGGGCCTGGCCCACCTGGTAGCCCAGTGCCAGACAGAGCTGGAGCGCCAGGCCCTCTACCCCAAGAGCTGGCACCACGGCACACCTGGGGAGGGAGAGCAGGACAGCCAGGGGCCCAGGAAGCAGCTGAAGATTTGCTTCACCTACGACCTGCCCGGCCAGGTGGACCAGCAGAGTCCAGCGGACGACCTCCCCCGTCGCTGCAGCCTGCTGTCAGAATGCATCAGTGCCATGGAGGAGGAGATGGCGTCCTGTGAAGAGCAGATGGGCGTCCTGGATGAGCTGCAGCGCGAGAAGGAAGAGTGCTTCTGCCGGCTGATGCAGGAGAAGAGGGAGAAGAAGAAGGAGCTGCAGGAGCTGCTGCTGCGCCTGACAGGGCAGGGCACAGAGGGCCAGGACTCGATGCCGGCCGCTGGCCTCACCCCTGCCGCCGAGGCCCACGCAGACCTGGTAGGGCCCTTGCAGAGGGAAGTTGCAGAGGAGGAGCGGGAGCACTGGTCTGAGAAGGTGCAACCTGAAGACAACACGGAGCCTGCCCCAGGAGAAGCCGGGGCGTCTTGTCCCCCTGACACCCTCACCGCAGAGCAGGTGGTGTTGCTGCAGCCTGGCATCCAGCAGCACCCAGAGCCTGCAGGCCCGGACAACCAGGGCTCCTTCCCTTTCATCTATAGACTGACACAAATGATCGGTTTGAGATAGTTGCCATCCAGAGACCTGGGGGCCAACGCCCTCCTTCACACACTTGGGGACATGTCCGCTGGGCGCCGCTCTCTCAGGGCTTGTTAGGATGAGAGAAGGGCCAAAAGCGGGAGACATCTCCTAGTCCACTGGTCAGCAGAGAAGGGGCCGTGTGAAGGAGGATGGGAAGCGATGACAGGGTTTTCTGTTAGCACATTGTATTAGAGATGCTATTTTTATGAATCCTGTATTAGCATCCTCACATTATTTTTGATATATTTGATGCTGAATTATGGAGCAGGCTCCATAATTCTTTAGACTTTTTTCAGGAAAGGTTTATATTTCCTCAAATGAGTCATTCCATTATTGTACATGATATGTTGGTGCGTTCATGCAAGTTTTTTTTTTTTTTTAAATCATGCTATGTACCAGCAACGCTGAATTTTCTAATTTGTATTTTAATCTACTGTGATGGTAGGATACTGAGGGGTGAGAAACGGTACAAACTGTGAAAAAGAAGAAAAGGTCATTCATCCCATTTGGAAAAGTAATACTAATAGAACAAATAGTGGTGTCTTGTAGTGGAAAACATACAGCAAATAAGTACAGAAATGTAATTCAGAATAACATACTACACGATTATAGAATATCTATAATGAGAATAGCAAGTGTCTCCATTTTACACTTGTAAATTGTTCAAGTGTATATTCATTGAAACCAATAAAATATTTAAATTCAAAAAAGTTTATTTTGAATTTTTCACTCGTTCCAACTCCATTCCTTAAAAAAATACCCATAAATGGGCTGGGAAGGTGGCTCAGTGTTAGAGCGCTAGCCTTGAGCTGAGGAGCTGAGAACAGCACCCAGGCCCAGAGTTCAGGCCCCATGACTGACAAAAACAACAACAACAACAAAACCCACCTCTTAAAGCTGGGCATTGGTGGCTCATTCCTATAATCCTAGCTACTGAGGAGGCTGATATCTGAGGAAAGTGATTCAAAGCCAGCCCAAGCAAAAAAGACTGTGAGACTCTTCAATTAACCACCCGTCACAAGTGGAATTGTGTCTCAAGCAGTAGAACACGAGCCCTGAGTATAAAATCTGAAGGACAACACTCAGGCCCCAAGTCTAAGCCCCAGGACCGACCAGTATATACACACATGCACAAACAGACACACACACACACAGACACACAGACACACACACACACACACACACACACACACACACATCTTGTGTGCCCAACTCAATCCTTGTAACTATTTTTCTCACTCATTTATAGTCTTTACACTGCTTTGAGTTGCCTTTCTAAAGCACAGATTTAATCATGGCATTTGTGGAAACACACACACACACACACACACACACACACACACACACACACACACGCACACACACACATAACCTAATGGACATCTTGCCTTGACATAAAGTCTGAACTTCACATATGACTACAAGTCTAACCTAGGCCTTTAACATTGTGTAGTCATTCAACAAATATCTCTGGAACTCTCTGGACCTGGCCAGAGACTACATGCTAAGGAAGATCTGCAAATGAGATTTGTGCATACACACTAGACGAATAAACAAAAGATGAAATGACAATCACTATGAAATTAATAGATGGTAGGCTTTGGCATGTAAGAGGGGTAAGGAAATGGAATCCTGTTAAAATCTACTCTGTTCCTAAGTATCACTTTTATCAGGAGGAAGGATGTCTCAACAGATGAAAATGTGTGTCCCTAGGAATAACAACAAAAAATAAGGTAAATTCACTGAACTAATTGTAAAGGGTTAAAACAATGGTGCTGGATGATTTTGTATTTTTAAATCATTCTCTCATGTCATTTATTTTTAAGTCATTTCCTAATTAAAGTAGAATTTGGGGGGAATGATGAAAGAGTTCTGTAATGTGTTAGGGTATATTATGTATTTGTCAAAACTTGCCACAGTACTTATTTAAAATCTAAACTTTTTTTTTGCCAGTTCTGGGGCTTGAACTCAGGGCCTTAGAGCTGTCACTGAGATTTCTTTTGCTCAAGGCTAGTCTCTACCACTTGAGCCAAAATGCTACTTCCAGATTTTTCTGTGATTAATTAGAAATAAAAAGTCTCAGGACATTCCCTGCATGAACTGACTTAGTGTAAACCATGATCTTCAGATCTCAGCCTCCTGAGTAGCTAGGATTACAGGCGTGAGCCACTGGAGTCAGGCAAAACCTGTTCCTTTATATGATGTGTATTACCTCTCCATTTCTAACATATGATCTCAAAATAATAAAAAAATAATGGCCTCTCCCATGTCAGTGTTACAGAACTGAATGGTGCCTTATTTTTCTATAATTAATTTTATTTAAAATGAATGAGATTCATCATGGCGGGGGGGGGGGGTGTTGTGGTAGTTGAATGTCTGTAGGCTTTATCAGAACATACAGGAAAAAAAAAAGCTTGAAAATTATGCAAGGACATCACAGAACTTACGCCCGTGTTGTTAGAAAAATCACCTTGGCTTTAGTGTGGAGGACTTTAGAGACTGAGCGGCAGGGATATCATTAGGTGACTGATGGGATAAAGAAGGAAAGACCCAGTCAGCAGCAGTAGGATTCTTGCAGGGACAGAGAAGAAACAGCTGCTGGCTGGCAAGGCAAGAACCAGGGGGTGGGGGGATACCATTTTCTAAGAAAGTAAGCAGACTGAAAGGAGCTTTCAAAGGAGCTGTCTTTGAGATGGATGTGTGTGGTTCAGCAGAGGACTCATGGCCTGGGACCTTAGTAAGGACAAGAGCAGGAATTAATGAGTTACAGTTCAAGAGAAAACAGAAGTGAGCTCGTGATTTGTGGAAATCCAAGTGGGCAGTGGGCAATGTAAGCCTGAGAGGAAGAATAGCTAACATGAATTCAGGTCCTCTAGGTCCACATTTACAAACGGTTCGGGAAGCAAATAGGGAGTTAATGCTATCAAGGAAGTTGCATTCTATTGCGTTGCTGTCTGTGTTCAGAAGTAAAGCATGTTTGTGTGGGATCCGTGCAAGTCCGGGACAAGGCCTGTTTCTATACTATGCAGTAGAGCTAGCACTGTGGTGGAGACTTGATTCCATCACCTGTGAAGATGATCCAACTACCTCTTCCACTCCAATCTTCTTCAAAGTCTTGTCTGCATTGGAGAAGCCTTTTAATGTACTACTGATGAAGGCTAGGAAAGGTGACTAAGTGTAATACCTTAGTTCTCTACGGATGACTTTAAAAATAGGAGGCTGTTAGTCTAGATCCTCTGAAAACAGATACCAAGACAAGATTTGACATGCCAGAGATTTATTGGGAAACTAGACGGGGGAGGTGTAAACAGTGAGGAGAGGGGGAAAAACTATCTGACCTTGGTAAAAGGAAGTCAGGAGGGAAGGGAAGAATCAGCAAAGCAGGCAGAAAGGAAGTCACAAAAGCAGATAGGAAAGGAGGCCAGCAAGTCTGTAGGCAGGAACCAGACTCTAGTGAAGCATTAAGAGAGGGATGGAGATGGAGCTGTGACTCAAGTGGTTGAGCACCAGCCTTGAGCAAAAGAGCTAAGGAACAGCACCAAGGCCCTGATTTCAGGTCTTAATACCAGTACACACACACACACACACACACACACACACACACACACACATACACACACACACACACACACACACACACACACACACACACACACACACAGGAAAAAGAGAGTTGTATTTAATGGGATAATTTTCTGGCATTTTCCATTTCTATCACCTAGCTGGGATCTCAGGGTACTCGTTAGAGAAAGTGAATTAAAATTGTATAGCGAATGGTATAATTATACTTCAATATATCTCCTGTAGATACAGAGGAGACATAAGTGTATCTGGCTCATGTCAGGGGAGGGAGACGTTCTGGAAGGTTTACCTCAGTGTACCATCTCTGGTACATCTTGCACTCTTGAATTAGCAGGTCAATCAAACGTTCCTAAATCAGATATGACTTAGGGAAGTTTATGAAATGATTTGAGGACATTATGTTTTTGCTCATTTTGCAAAGTAAAATGGATTTATTTTAAACTTTTTATTTGGAAATAATTTCAAATGTTACAAAATAAAAATAGTACGGTGTTAAAAGAGTACAAAAATACACGTTCTATATCTAGATCAACCTTTGTTGATATGCCACACTTTTTGTCCTTGTTTCTTAAACTTTTTTCTTCCAATAGGGTAATCTGCATATCTATCACCATCCTTCAGTGTGTATTTCCTAGTGGTAGGAAGATGATGTTACCTAATGTACATGTGAAACAATGAAATAAGCAAATCTGTCATTCTGAATTCCTGTTTAGTCAGTTTGCCCAATAATGCCCTGTCGTTCCCTTCTGAAGAATAGGACTCAGGAGAGGCCAAACAATGCATCTTGTTGGCATATCTCTAACCTGTTTTAAACTACAACAAGAAGTAGCCGTTGTAAACAATGCACCTGATGTATTGAAGAACCTGAACTTCGAGGGCAAGGGCTTGGCTGGTCCTGAGTGCTGCCCAGAGCACTACCTCTTTCACTGCCACCCCCCCCCTCCCCAAGTGGTGAGAGAGTGACTGAGGGTGGGTGTTCACACTAGGCGTGAGTGACGTTGGTCTTGGGCATTTTAAGTATTCCTGTCTATAATCTGAGTGTTTTTTTTTTAATTTTATTTTATTGTAAAGCTACTATACAGGGGGTTACAGTTACATGAGTGAGGTAATGAGTACACTTCCTCTTGAACATTGTTACCCCCTCCATTGTTTTCCCCCTACCATCCCCTCCCTCCCTCCCTTCCCCGAGGTTCTTTTTTTTTTGATTGTGATTAAATGATTACATAATTTCAAAGTCACAAGTTCATTCTAACTTCCCTGGAGCAAATTGTCTGCCACAGTCTGTAATATATAACAGTGTTCACATGTTATATACCATGTTCGTGATCAGCAGCATGGGGATATTTAGTAGTGGTTCAACCAGATGAGCGGGAGTTCTTTGTTTCTTAAGTCCTGTTAGTTTTGTC